TCGTTGAAGGGGACACATGAGAAAGAAGGTGTCTAATCTTAAGACCTGGGGACAAAGAGCTGGCAGACAGTCGGGAATGAAGCAGGGACTTCACCTGAATCCTGCCGTCAGCCCAAGTGAGCAGGAAGGCAGATTCCGTCCCCGAACCTTCCGATAAGAGCCTACCTGGTTATTGATTTGGGGGGGGGGACAGGGGGCTTGATGATAACTACACAAAGAGCCCAGGGCAACCTGCCCATTCTCCTGAACTCCAGAGAAGGGACATAGCAAGGGGTGTTGTTTTCTGTTGTCTGTGTGTAGTGACTCGGGGCAGATAACGGAAATCAAGGCAGGAGGGTTCTCTGCTCAGAAGAGCATGAACCTGGTGTTACCGAGAACTCAGAGACTTTGGGGATGACAAGTAGTCTCATGTAACTCAGTTTGGTCTTGAATTCATTGTAACCAAGGACGAACATGAACTCATGATCCTCCTGCCTCCACTTCTCACCCACTGACAAATGTTCATCAAGGATACAGGGATGAAAATGGAGTATGGAACAATATGAAGTCCCTACCATCCTGGCCAGCATGGCCTGAGGGGTGAGAACCTGACAGGTAACCAGAGCCTAGTGGGTGTTAGAAGCAGAGGAAAACATGGTACCAACAGGGGCTGTAGCTGCAGCCTTGGAGACCGGCCACGAAGCAAGAGGAGCAAGACACATGCTTCTTCTGTTCTCGGATCCCAAGGCAAGTGTCTTTGCTCCAAGATCCACTCAGGCAATGCAGCCAGCTCAAAGAGATCCAGCTCAGATGAGAATGCCTGCTACAGCTCAGAAAGGACAGGAAAGGTGTGGTGTGGACCTCTGCAAGGCACAAACGAGGATCAGAATAGCCAGTGTTTAAGCGACACATGCACTTTGTCTGTCCATGTGTGGACTCAACCAGGACTGCGTTTAAGCCTGGAACTGTCACTGTGGCTGTCCCCATGCTGGGGAGTGCCAAAGATGGGACAATCTGATTAGGGACAGCATTCCTTGACAGCAAAGCTCACCTATGACCCCTCAGCGCAAGGACCCTCCTTGTGCACTCTGTCACCTCCTGAGGCAAGAGAAGGACTGGGAAAATGAACTTAGGGCTCTCATGTCATTGTGGAAGCTCATAGTCGGGAACATTAGGGGTTTCCCAGAGATGAGAGCGTGGGCCTACATCAGCACGACGGGAAACCATGCCATGAATTGCGGGCCGCCCAGCCACTTCTGCCAGGGCTGTGAGGCTGGGGTGAAAGGGACAGGAAAGAGACTGTGTAGGGGAAGGATGTGGTTGAGTTTTTCTTTTAGAGAACAGCGTGTTATCTTTTGGGTCGAGAAAATTATAGGGGATTGATAAATTTACTAGAACAGCAAGAATCACGCCGATTTTTTTTTCAGCTTTAAGTAAGGACATTCTTCTCCCAGAATATCCTTCTTAGCTGTAAAGGACCTCAGGGAAGCTTGGGGGCCAACTAGATACATAGAAGTGACTTCTGGCAAGAGTTAACAGCTACTAGGATGGCGGCAGTCCTTGGGTGACTGCAGTGACAGCTCACGAGAACATCTGTCTGCTCTCGGGCCCCAAGAGAGGGTTTCTTTCTCACCTGTAGCCCAGGCCCATAGCTGCTCTAGACCCGGGGGTGGGGGGGCACTAGGATGAGGATTCCCCAGCTTGTGGGACTTTAAGGACCATATCACCATTTGGGGGCAAGGAGGCGGATTAAATTCCAAAGGCTGGGGACCACATCTTTTGGCTCAAGATCAGTCTCCAGATGACTCTGTGGGGCCTGGCCAAGGACATTGGGCCCTCGCCTTCAACCTCACGCCACTGGTAAACATCGTTCTTCCCAGAGATTCTACTTGTTTACTTACCCTGTGGCCTATATGTTCCCTTGACCTAGAGGAACACCCCCCCCCCCAAGAAATCTGTCCCCAAAATTGCACCTTAAGTGTCTCTGGTCTCCACAGGAAGGACCAGGCCACGATGGGGTTAGAGACCCAGGTCAGTGTGGCCATATGGGGGCGAAGGATGTTGAACTCAACACCCCATAGACTCTGCTTGAGCCCGCAGGCTAGAGGAACACAGGAAAGATGGACCCAGGCATCAGGGACCAAGCTGTCCAGTTCCCTCCTGACTTCCTAGGGACTTCTGGAGCCTGTGAGTCTGGCATGAAGCCTTTGGTCAGACCTTTGCTCCACTCGTGTAAGCAGGAGAGGATGGTGACCTTAGGCAGGGGCCTAAGTGCAGATGGGTAGCTACCACCCGGTCCTCCCTAGCTCCATATCCGAGACACTACAAGCTCAGCCTAGAGTTTGTCAGCAATCCCGGTCAGCAGAGAAATCCACAGTAAACAAGTAACCTGAACTTAGAGATTCCGACCCAGTGCCAGCTCCGCCTAGCCCCAGTTCCAGATGTTCCTGTTGCAGACGCTGCTGCCCAGAGGCACCAGGTGCAGAAGAACCTTCGGCTTTCCGTTTCCTAGACTCGCTGGGGTAGATTTAGGTCTGCCTCCCACCCCACCCCGGGTGCAATTACACAGCTCACCTGCCATAGTGGTAATCAGTAATCGGCCCAATTAGTCTAACTGCTGGTGCTGGCAGGAAGGAACCCACCCACACAACACTGCTGAGAGACTTTCTTCCATAGCTGTTTGCCTATCTATACCGAGTGTCACCGCTGCGGCGCACTGGGAGAACTCTGTGCACCCCGCTCCTGGTGACCCTGATCCCCGTTCCTAGCGGAGGAGGTAGATAGAACTGTGGAAAGTCAGGCAGAGTGCACGTGTGGTCTCCGCTAGGCTCCAGGCCCGCCTCAGCGCTGTTCTCAAGCAGCGAGTGACACGGGTAATGGCGATAGGGCAGTGAAAGGTCTAGACTGAGCTCAGCAGCCCCCAGAGATCTGAGGTCCAGTAAAATAAAGGGTCTTGAAATTCAGCCATATGCCTCCGGCGCTGAGGACAGGGTGGGGGTGAGGAGTGAGGGTGGGGGCAGCTCATCATTCCTGATGCCTTGCTCCCCGTGGGGAATGTGCCCCCCTGTAACCAGCAAAGTCCCTCTAGGCTTGCTTCTAAGCAGAACAGGCTGGACGGTTAGCTAACATAAAGGATGGGGTCACCTCAAGGGAAGATGTGCCTGGTTGCTGTTTTAGGAGGCTGAGGCAGGAGGATGTGAGGCCAGCCTGAGTTAGCAGTTAGTTCTAGGCAAGTCTGGTTTATATAACAAGATCTTGTATCAAACACACACACACACACACACACACACACACACTATAAAATTGTAGCTACTATAAAAACTCTTTTTGTTTTTTTGTTTTGTTTTGTTTTGTTTTGGTTTGGTTTTTTTTTTTTTTGTTTTTCAAGACAGGGTTTCTTTATGTAGCCCTGGCTATCTTGGAACTTGCTCTGTAGACCAGATCCACCTGCCTCTGTCTCCCGAGTGCTGGGATTAAAGGCGTGTGCCACCACTACCTGGCTGGAAACTATTTTAAAATATATTTTAAAATGTGTTTATGTTAAGTATAAATAGGAGTAAATTCTAGTGTACATCAACGAGTCAGAAAAGATAATAAATTTCAAAGCTGGTTTCCGAGATAAACTTTAAAAAGCAGCAAGGTTTGTTTAGGAAGGAAAAGAAAGACATGGAGGGAGACACTCAGCCAAGGAGGGAGTCTTAGTCAGGGTTTCCATGGCTGTAATGGAACACTATGACCACATCACTGAAGGAAGTCAAGACAGGAAGAACTCAAGCAGAGCAGGAACCTGGAGGCAGGAGCTGATGCAGAGGCCATGGAGGGGTGTTGCTTACTGGCTTGCTCCCCATGGCTTGCTTTGCCTGCTCTCTTACAGAACCAAGCGCTGCTCACCATGGGCTGGGCCCTCCTCCATGGATCACTAATTGAGAAAACGCCTTACAGCTGGATCTCATGGAGGCATTTCCTCAGCCAAGGCTCCTTCCTCTGATGACTCTAGCTTGTGTCAAGTTGACACACAAAACCAGCCAGTACAGAAGGCTACCACCAGAGGGAGACAGTCAAGGATGGCTGCCATCCGATACCAGCTGCCATCGGATACCGGCTGCCTTTCCTTTTTGCATCAGGACTCTGTCTTCTTAACCTGAGAGCTTCAAGGCTGGCAGCCTGGCACACAACAGGTACTGTGGCAACAACCCTTCATGAGCAGGCAGTCCATGGCCCTAAGACTGGAGCACACAAACTGTGTATTGCTGCTACTCATGTTTGCAAAGGGCCGAAGTTTAAGGACAGTTAAAAATGATAATCAATCTTCTCCTTATAGTAGTTTTTTTCCTTTTACCTGGGTGAGATTTGCTTGAATTAGAGAGAAGAAAGGGGGGCTATTGGGCTGGAGAGGTGGCTCAGAGGTTAAGAACATTGCCTGCGCTTCCAAAGGTCCCGAGTTCAATTCCTAGCATCCACATGGTGGCTCACAACCATCTGTAATGTGGTCTGGTGCCCTCTTCTGGCCTGCACACATACACACAGACAGAATATTGTATACATAATAAATAAATATTTTTTTTAAAAAGAAAGGGGGGCTATAACTGCAGAGGGAGAGTGGTTATTTCCCAGTACATACACGCTTTAGTTTGTATGATATTTAATATGTATAGTAAATTCATTTCCCCTAAGTGTCCCTAGGAATATCTGATGGGCCTGGAGCTTGGCTTGTGTCTCTTCCAGTCACAGCAGGGGTTCTCTGTCCCACACCCGAGTGTCACGATCCACTGTGGTTAGCGACATGAAGGAGATTGGAGATAATGACAGCTGTGCCCAAACTTCTAAATGGTCAACAGAGGCAGAGTTGCCTCATTTTCACCTCAGCCTATGAAAACCAAAAGAACTAGTCCCAGTTTTCACGAACACACCCAAGTAGGTCGAGAACAAGCTCCGAAGTCAGCAGAGCTGGCAGGGGGCCTGCTGAGAAAAGAAGCGACAAGGATGGGGTTTCAGGACAGTGGAGTCTTGGACCTCCAAAAATGCTGCCCTTTGCAGACGAGGAGGCCGCAGCTGTTGGGGCTCCTCTCTTCACCTTGTCCTCTAGGGTGAGATTACTCGAGTTCATACAGGGGTTGTGTTCCTAAAATAAGGAATTACTAAGGGAGGGTTGACCAGGCAGAGGGCATTGGGGCATGAGGGTACTGGACATCCTTGGACACAAACAGAAGAAAAACTATATACCACAAGGTTCCCACTCTGGGCCAGCCCCCCAGCCTGTGGTGAGCAAAAGGGAGAAGCCACAGTTGGGAGAGGGAGGAATGTGTCCTGATGTCCCAGCACAGCTGGGAGCCATGTGGCGTCTCTGGGCCAGGGCCAGCAGCATAGGCAGACTAGCAATCAGAGGGTGGAGGGAGAGACACAGAGCATCTGGCTTCTGCAAATAACAGCTTCCCGGAAACTGCTCCCCACGAGCATCTCTAGAACAAAAGCAAGGACTCAAGCTGGCATCCTTCAATCAGTCCCTTCCATCTGCCAGGTCAGCATCACCTGCCGCGAGCCTTTGAAGGTGAGCCCAGCAACCCCCGGACAAAACTAACAAACACGTATGGGCACTGTACAGTGTCAGGGCTTTCAGATATGCTGCCTCCCGTGAACCTTATGATAACCACTAGGAAGTGTATATTTAAAACTTTCTGTTTTGCAGAAGAATGAAGTGTGGCTCAGAAAAGATAAACAGCGACCGGACTGGGGACTTCTAACCCAGACCCACCTCGCTTCCAGTCTTTGCTTCTTGAGGTGTGGTCCGTGCCTCAGCAACACTGGCCCGCCCTGGGGTCTTGTGAGAAAGACAGAGTCTTAGACCATGTAAACCAGAATCTGTGTTTTAACAAGATCCCCGAGAAGCTGTGTTTTCTACGCATTTTGATGTTTGAGAAGCAGTATTTACCTTGGTATTGCAATTCAGTCTGATAGTAAACATGGCCACCCTTACAGGCACATATTAACAGAGAAGGAAACAATAGTAGATGTGACAACAGCCTTTTCCAGCTGGCCCACCTTTCTATATTCTTCTTCTTCCTCCTCTTCCTCTTCTTCTTCTTCTTCCTTCTTTCTTCTTCTTCCTCTTCTTTTCTTCTTCTTCTTCTGATAGTTTTATTGAGCAATATATTTTTCTCTGCTCCCTCCCTTGACCTTCCCATCTTTTACATCCATGGTGAGATCACATGGTCACCAGCCCGGTATGAGAGATAAAGCATGATAACCTGAGGACAATCACTGAGCTGGTTATAAATATGTATTAGATGTAATAATATGTGGGGTGATATACTTAATAGTAAGGTATGGAGTGAGTGATATCTTCAAATCTGTAAGGAGGTGAACATGATAAAAACATGCCTGTCCAGCACACATCCAGGGCTTCAACCATCTTCAGCTTGATTTTCTAACTATAGGTAGCCAAACCAAGTAATTCAAGCCATGATAGAGTTCTATTCCTACACATTCTGCTTTGGGTGTCTTCATTTACAGAGTTAACCAGACACTTGCCCAACCTCTCTCGTTCATGTCTTACATAGGGGAAATATTTGCTCGTGTGTGAACACATACTTCCGTATGTAGCGTATTTTTTATGTGTAGAAAGTCCCTGCAGCGTCCCTGGAGTGTCTGAGGGGACTGGCACTGGGTCTGTCTCTCTAGTGGTTACTTGTGGATGTAACTTTCTGCTCCCACGAAAACTTCTCTTCTATGTGTCTTGCCTCTCGCGCTAGTTCCTCTCTGCACTTGCTTTGGCTCAAATGTACGATTCATCCATATTTCTTGCTAATATTTTGGAAGCATTATTGACTGGGGTTGATGGATGTCTATTGTCTGTGGAAGCAACTGAGGGCGATTTCTGGCTGCACAGAACAGATCAAAATTCTTTGTTATCAGAATCTTTATCCCTGAAAGTATGAAATCTGTTTTCTCTTTGCATGTTCCCCCACATTCTTCTACCAGTGCTCAAGCCTTCTTCCACAAGGAACTCCTTCCAATCCCTCCCCCAGTTCCTATCCCAATCATCTTGTCATCTCATCCCCCTCAAAGGTCACCTTCTCCAACCAGAATGGCTGTCATAATATCCATTCAACAAGGGTGAACTTTCTCCACCAGAAGGCACTGGATCTTTTTCTGACTGTATTAGGGTTTTCTGAAGGAACAGAAGTGATAGAATGAGTGTGTGTGTGTGTGTATGTGTGTGTGTGTGTTGGTTGGTTGGTTTGAACAAGAATGGTCCCATAGGCTCAAAGAGTCATAGTTACAGTCACCAAGGAATGGCACTATTTGAAAGGACTAGGAGGTGTGGGCTTATTGGAGTGGGTGTGG